TGTGGTTAGGTTTACAACCAATAAGAAGGCATAACAGAAAGTCAATAAAAAGACAGAATCACAGGAAGTAGGTCTCTTGCTGAGGGGAAGGACAGCAGCAGCAGGAAGGGTAAGAAGGCGGTTTTAAGTCTCAGTTCTTAGCTGCTGCTCTGACCTCTTGGGCTTTTAACTCTGCATTTGGCTCTGTGCTTCTTATTTAATAAGACTGTTACATCTACATTACCCTCAGGCAGACTCTCTTGACAAAGGCCAAAAGCATCCACATTCTTCACCAAAATGTCACAAAAATGGTCTCTAGGCAATGTACTAAAATTCTTCTCCTCTGAAACCTCTTGAACCAGCCCCCATCCCAGTACGAGTCACTCTTAGCACTACTGTCTTCCATGTTTTTATTAGTGTAGCCCACTAAGCAGCACTTAAAGCATTAAACTACTTTTCTAATCCACTGTCCCACTGTTCATATTTCTTCAAACAAAAGCATTCTCCAGCTCTCACAGCAATGCCTTACTCCTGGTGCCAACTTCTGTCTTAGATAGGTTTTCTACTGCTGTGAATAGACACCATGACCATGGCCACTCTTACAAAGAAGAAACATTTAATTGGGTTGGCTTACATTTTCAGAGGTTTAGTTCATTATCATCACTGTACAACAAGGTGGCATGCAGGTAGACATGGTGCTGGCTACATCTTGATCTGAAGACAATAGGAAGTAAACTGAGTGAAAGCTTGAAAATAGAGACCTCAAAGCTCACCCACACAGTGAGACACTTCCTCCCATAAGACCATATCTACTTGAAATAAGCTATATCTCCTAAGAGTGCCAATCCATATGAAATTCTGGGAGAAATTACATTGGAACTACTACAGTCCCCTATATGGCTAACCAATCACAAGCAGGCATTCCTAAAAGTATACATATAAGTAACACTGAATAGAATCAGCAGATTAAATTAATTTTTTATTAGCCGGGCGGTGGTGGCGCACGCCTTTAATCCCAGCACTCGGGAGGCAGAGGCAGGCGGATCTCTGTGAGTTCGAGGCCAGCCTGGGCTACCAAGTGAGTTCCAGGAAAGGCGCAAAGCTACACAGAGAAACCCTGTCTCGAAAAACCAAAAAAAAAAAAAAAAAAAAAAAAAATTAATTTTTTATTTAAACCACACGCATACACACAAACGTAAAACCAACAAAAATAATAATAATAATAATTAATAAGAGGTGATGAATTTAAAAGGGAAGAAAATCATGTGAAGAGGAAGTAAGGGGGAAATACTATAAATAAATTAAAATCATAAAAAGGTAAAAGAAAAATAATCCAACCTGAAATAGATTTTCATGGGAGGTAGAGATCCAGAGCAAGAGGGAAAGGCGTGACTTCAGTGCAGAAGAAATGTCCTAGGAAAATATCTCCAGAGGTAAAAACAGCACAACACATATGAGAAAGTAATGGAATGTAGACAAGTTCAGCTGGAGAAGAAAGAACAGGGAAGGCTGGGTAAAGGCTGATGATAGAGATGGGGGAAGAAAATGACAGAGGACCTTAAGGGCTTTTGTCCTATATAACTAAGGGACTACTGACCTATAGGGTAAACACCCCTGGAAAGATACCATGTAAGTGGCTCAGGCGGATAGCAAGGTGGTTAAGGAGCTCACTGAGGCCACCAAGAGGGAAATGATGGCTATGACTTTATCAAACAGGTCATCAGGAATTTTAGTTAATGATTAATTTTCAACCAGCCATAGTACGGGTAGCACAAGCCTTTAATCCTAGCACATGGTAGCAAAGGCAGGCAGATCTCTGTGAGTTTTTGGCTAGCCTGGTCTACAGACTATGAAGACAGTCAAGACTTACACAGAGAAATCCTCAAAAAAAAAAAAAACCTCAACAAAACAAAACAGAAAGATTTCCTCTTAGTACAGAGAACCAAGGGGTGGATTTGAGACAAGCACCCATGAAAAGGTATTAGAATGGACTTCAGTGAGGTTGAGACCCATGCTGAAATGTTCCTGGTTTGTTAGAGCTCAGTAACTCTTACAGAGGCAGGGACTTCCTGAGGCACACAGGAAACTTGTCTTCCTAATTTACTTTATGTGCAGAGAGGAGACAGCCACACACTGCTGTGCATCACTGCTGGCACAGAAGTACACAGCTGTCTGAGAGGGGGAAGCCATCTCCAGAATGAGGGAGAAGTTCTCTTGGTTTGGTCTGGTAACCTTGTACCCATCAGGGACATCTCCTTTCTCAATGTTGTTAGCACCATATGAGTAATGGATCAGCCTCAGTCCATGACCCTGGTCCTGCCGATACCAGTACATATAGTTGTGGTTGTAAGTCTGGCGACAGCTCAGTGTCACCTTTCCTCCTGTTACTGTCACCTTGCTTCTTGGGTCTTGGGTGACTGCAGCCTCCATGTGTTCTGGAATAGAGGAAGACAGAGCCTGATGATGTCATCTTAGCTAGAATGGGGAATTCTGTTCAGGGAAGCACACCTGTGGCCTGGCCAGCACTCACTTACACACAGGAGACTCAAGGCCACACAGAAGAGCCTGAAGTCCATCTCAGGACCAAGGCAAGATCTGATGTCTTCCAGCCTTGTGTGTGGAAACTAGAGCTGGGGCTCTCCGCAACTTAGTGATGTCATTGTCTCCAACAAATGGGGAACTTCACAGTTGTCATGCCACACCCCTTCCCCACAGGAGCAAGCCAACTCTTAATTACAATCACATGGTTGGATTACACAGTATTATTTGGAGAGGATATACACAAATTAACAACTGAGACTTAAGGGATTTGTGGTTTGTTTTGTATGTATACATGCATGTACTCCTTTGATTTAAGTGAACATATAAGGTTTCTTTTATTCCTACTATGACACATTTCTGCCAGGGACCAGCCTCAGCAGTTTCAAGGGTCTGAAGCACTGGATACCTGGAAGGCACAGTATCGACTCAGAGAGAGTGCTCATGCAAGTGACAGGTCACTTCTGCTACAACTTCCTTAGCTTCTGCTTCTGCCTTGGTAACCTCAGTCTTTTATTATCATAAGCAAGGGGAAACAGAAAGAAAAGGGGAAATCACCCAATACAAAGTATCCTGATGATTCCCAAGGTTATTCTTAAAAAAATCACCAATATATTCTTCATAATCTTTTACTAAACACAGGAACTATCTCAGATTTAACACCAAAGCAAACATAATCTATTTTTATTATTAATGATTATACAATCTTCTGAGCACTTGACCCAGAGGCTAGCAACATGCAATTTAAAAAAAAAAAAAAAGGTAAAAATAAAAACAGTGGTCAATGTACCAGATAGTCATTTCCTTATCACACAGCCTGCTTCAATCTCAAGACCCCTGAAGCCACTCAAGTTCCTCCTCAGCCCTCTGTAAACACCAAGCCCCATGACTGGTGGGCCACAATGACCTCAAATAAGAAATCTGCCCCTGCAAATCAGGAACTTTTGTCTTTCTTATCCCAACAATTCTAAGGAAGACCTGATCCAATTTTCAGAGCTTCCATGAAAGGAAGCTCACCTTTCCTGGCAGCTCTTTTCAGTCTAGGAACCTAATAAAACTTGCAGCAATCACTCCAACCATTGCCACATTGTCTCCACACTCCTTACGGAGGGATCAAAATATCTGGATTAAAGTTGCCATCTCCCTTTCTTGGTGGAGGCCACCATTTTCCTCCTTTTCTAGGTTCCCACACTTCTCCTTTCTCGTCTCATCTATACATTACTCCGCCCACAGTCTTCAGCCAATACCCCTTAGGGTCTCAAGTTTTACACGATGCCCTTGGAATATCCTCAGAAACAGAATTATTCATCATGGTCAAACCGAATCCAGTGTGCTGATACATATCATACCATGTGCCATATATAGTTGACCACACATTCGGTACAGTTTATCCAAGCCTGAAAAGCTTCCCCAGGCTGCAGGTTCTTTCTCATGACCTGTATAACTGCCTTGACTCCAGCCTGGGTGATCACCTCTGTATAATTTCCCATGAAATTTACTTCACTCCTTTCCTGTATCACAGAAATCACCATTGGTCTAGGAACACAGAACATGAAGATCAGATAGAAGAAAAAGACCAGCATTACAAGAAGTAATTCTATGGAGGAGAACATGACAAGTGCATGCCATAAAGCATGACCTTGGGACACATAGGCATTTCTGCCTTGGCCCTCTAGAGGCATGCTAAGGAGAAGATCCAGAGGAAAACGCACGGAGGGTTGATGGTTCACAATCTTGTGTCTGTTTTTCTCCAATCTCTGCTGGCAGCACGTCAGCCATCTTATGTGCTGCTCCTGACACATTTCCTTATTTTACAATCTTTTATTTATTTGTTTATTTATTTATTTATTTATTTATTTATTTATTTATTTATTTATTTATTTATTTTACTATTTGTATAGTCTCAGTTGCACCCACACAACATGCCACAGTCTATGAAGTTTCTACTAATCTTTACTTTGCCTTAAATATGGAAGATAAACCTTCAGTGCCATCTATGGCTACAAGAACTGCTCAACATTCAGAAAGCTTATAAAGCACCAAGGTTGGGGTCACTACAAATTGAACAATTGATTTAAGATATATCATAACAATTCAGGAACATAAGCTCTACATTCTAAGCTAGGCTAGTGTGTCCTCACTGATTAAAAAAAAAATCTCCTTGTTTCAGGTGATTCTGTGGAAGACTGACCTAAACTTTCTTACTTTGATTCCTGTAAAGAGAAAGTCTCCTTCAACAATATGGGTGAGCTGTTAGCCTGGAAATGTGAAAGTCTGGTTTGTCTAGGTTCCCAGGTAAATGTAACTAATTCAATCAAAAGCTTGTGTTCTAAGTTCTCTAACGTGAAACACATACCTCCACTCAAAGGCAGTACAGGTTCCTTCCTAAGTAAAGGATATCTCAGTTGCAACCTACACAGATAGTATCAAAATATAAAACCTCCTTCTGTGGCCAAACATCCTGGTGGGATCTTAATAGATACTTTCTATAATCCTGTAACTGGTGAGGAAGGACTCAGAAGCAGAAGCAGAGACAAAGGGGGCAGCACAGCATCCATATGAAGAATCTTAGGACAGAGTCTGGCCATTCCAGAAAGGACATACCTCTCAACGCCAAAACCATGGCATGGCTGGTCCCCAGAAACCCAAGAGCCACCAAGAAAAAAGGCAATTGCCCATGGTTGAGTCTGTCCAAGGAAGAGCCACTGTCGACTTTAGACTTAGATGTTCAATTGTAGAACTTGAAATTTTGTAGCT